TGCATTTCTTGAGGCGGTGGAGAGGCAGGGGCGACTTGTGAATCGTAGAGAATGAAGGATGGTGGGCAGAAGTCGATGTTCTCACCAGCCCTAATCGTGGTGTGATTCGTGCATGGTAGAAGCAGCCTAGAAGTTCCTTCTTCAGGGTGATTGAATACATAGAGCAACACACCTTCAGGAGCTGTTTTATCAAGGTAGCCCTTCTTCCTTAAGTACACCATATCGATCCAAGTTGGGGAAGAGTCTCCTGTTCCCACGTCTATATTTGCAGCTACCAGAATTGGTGTCAGAATTCCGCCAATGGTCAAGCTTCCTTTGCGCCCTGACCTATGCATTGTTGCAGCATACTCCTTGTATCCCAATAAATGATCCAAGAACACGGCTATTAGAGGAGCATTTCCTCTATCTCCCACCATTTCTGCTCCATCACTAGTGTTTCTTAAGGTAAATAGGAGGGCTGAGTCCAGAAGCTGCAGTTCACCTTCACTTATGGTACCGGTGATCTTCTTTGCAAAGAACATGCTAGCGATGGACTGGTGTAGATACCTCACCACTGGGCTTCTAATAGAGGAGCTCTTGCTTTTCGAAGGTATGTAATCTCCTGGTCCGGCGATCGTCTTCCAGAAGGCTTGGAGTTCACGCTTATCGAAATCTTGCACCAATCCCTCTTTGCTCGGGAATCCATACAAGAGATTGAGCTCCCTGATCGTTAGTGAGTGGTCTCTTCCCTTGACAGAGAACTTGATGTATCCAAAACCTCTCTCATTCTCTTCTTCTTGTTCATCCGCGTAGAAGTGTACGTCGAGAGTGGCTAGGAGCTGGCAGGTCTCCTCTTGATATCCCTCAAAACTATACCCCAGGAAGGTTTTTAAACCGCACGTCTCAGCAAGGTAGTCTATATCTTCAGCAATTCCCTAAGCAGCCATCGTTTCCCGATGAGGATGTCTTGTGCCTTCGAACTCCAGTGTTTTGAGATAGCTATAGTACTCCTCAGGAGTAGGAGGCTTCCTCTTCTTTCTATCCCTTTTGGCTGGCTTAGCAGGCTTGATCTCTTCCTCCATTTCAACAGCTTCTTCTTCTGGTGTGGGTTCGAAATCCGCTTCCACAACTCTCTTCCCGCGGCTTATCTCTCTTCTTCTTCTGGCCAGACGTTCAGCATCATCATCTCTTGAACTCGAGGAGCCTCCTCGACGTCCCTGCTCGACGTGACGTCGAGTAGGTTCACCACCAGCTTGATTCGGCAGCATTTCGCTTTCTACACGATCGTGGCTATCTTCTCGCACAAAACTGGCATGACCGGTCCAAGCAGGGGCTGGGATCCTCTCGTTGATAATAGCAAAACCACGTGCAGCATGTCTTGAAGAAACCCTCTTTCTTTCTTGATCACCATCCATGGTGTTCCCTTCAGCAAGAGCAGAGAAAAGAAAGCAAGTGAATCAAAAGAGCAGAGAATGAAGTTTAGAAGTAGAAGAAGTGAATTTTAAACCGATTAAATGGTGTAAATCGAGTTTTAAAACCAAAGATTAGGAAGTTGCAAAGCTTTAAAGACTCAAAGCAAAGTTGAAATGAGAGAACTAGAGCTATAAGAGAGAAATGAGAGAATTTGAAGAAATGAGAGAATGAGAGGAGTGAGGAGTGTGCTTCCCTTCTTAAAGGCGCCCAAGGAGACCAAGAGACAAAGGTGGAGTGTGTGGGGGCAGCAAATGTTGGATCTAGAATTCAAATTCGAAATTTGAATGGTCTTGGCGTTATCTCGATGTGGCTTACTCGACGTGGGGTCGAGTATGTCGGCAGCTCTTTCAAATTTGAATTTTTGGAGGGATTTGGGTGAACTCGACAAGGCTGACTCGACGTGGGGTCGAGTGTGTCGTTTGACCATTTTTGAATTTGAATTTTGGCTCCAAAGTTGACTTATAGGAAGGTTGACTCGATTTAATGGGCTTGTAGGTGTTGGGCTTGGCTTAGCATCGAGTTGGGCTTCGTTTAAGGCTTGGAGTTGGTCCATTGGGCTAGCTCGACTTGTCTTCGAGTAGGCTTGGTCGAGTCTGCTCCCTTCTTCCATTTTCTTGACTCCAACAGATTAAATCCTGAGAATCACAGACACTAAAAAAAAAAAAAAAAAAACATCAAAAATAACAAGAGATAAAGAGCTATTTACAAAGATAAACATGGGAATTCCTCCCAAGTGAGCTTGTTTAAAGTCACTAAGCTTGACTTTACGACTCTTTTAGGCGAGTTGAGGTTCCTGAAGATGGACTGTAGATCCTTCAGGAATGACGCTATCCGCGAGATACTTCTTAAGCCGCTGACCATTCACCTTAAACTCTGACCCGTCCTTGGCAAATAGCGATATCGCACCAAATGGTAGAACTTCTTTGATAGTGAAAGGACCAGACCACCGTGATTTGAGTTTTTTGGGACAAGGATTGGTGTTTCTGACTTCTCCCTTACCCAAGGTCCCACTCCCTGAAGGACGTTTTGGATCCCTTCTAGGACTATACAGACGTTTAGATTGAGCTCTATCATTGTTTTTTGGGACGGACTGAATCGAATTGGCTGGCAAGGAAGGTCTAGGCTGAGCCCTTACTTGATAGCTATGAATGTCTCATATTTGAGACTCGATAAGCCTTGCTATCTCCACTATGTCAGTGAGATTCACCGGTCGACATCTCACGACCTGATCCTTGAGGCTTCTTTGCAAGCCATGGAGGAACGCAGATTCCAGAATGTCAAAAGCGACATGAGGCAGCTCCACTGTTAGCTCCTCAAACCTGTCACGATACTCATCAACACTGCTCACATGTCTGATGTTCAACAGATGATCAACCGCTGAACTACCTCGACTAGGTCAAAACCGTGTCTTAAACTTATCTTGGAAGTCCTTCCAAGTATAGATGCCTTCTCTTTCTTTTGAACAACGCCACCAAGTGACTGCAGCTCTAGCTAAGGAAGATATTACCTTCTCTAACTTGTCAGCATCAGGATTGTTGTGGGACCTGAAGCACTGCTCAACGCAGAAAAATCAATCATCTGGGTTGCCTCCTTCATTCGGTGGTAGCTCTAGAGGTCGTGTAGAGAGCTTTGCCCATTGACGCGGCAAAAAACTCTGTTGCTCCAAAGGCTGTGGTTGAAAACACGGTTCCATATGATGAACCTACAGATCTGGGTTTGGAAAGGGTAAAATAGCTTGCAGTTGTCGTCCTGAACTCATCGATAGTGACGCTTGAAACTGATTACTCGGTAAAGGGCTTGCAAACACTAATAGAGTGGAATCTCAGCCATCTCGACTGGTCCATAGATCTGGTTCCTTAAGATCTGGTTCAGCGCTTCACGAACATAAAGCAGCTCCTTTTCGACATTCTTCACACGAGAATCCAGCGACGGAGCTGGTGGAGGAGTCTCGTTCGGGTTTGAGCTGAGTTTTGATGATTCTTCACGAGAATCGGTGGCGACACGCTTTGGATTAGCAAAAGCCATCGCTTACTCAAACAACGAAAGCACCAATGATAAGCTCTAAGCTTACAGAGAGTTGAAAATAAGAAAAGAAATGGAGGGAAAGAAGTATTGTGCCGTATTCGGAGGAGAAGAAGAGAGATTAAAAGGAATAGAGATTATTATTATTATTAGTTTTATTTTTTGATAACTCAGGTGATCCTAAAGGCTTCTTAGGCCCAAAGAGTAATCCTGGGGCCCGGGGAAACCATGTTAAAATTCGAACCTTGGTGGCCAATGCTATTCGAACCCAGATGGCAGAGACTTTTCTCTCCTTTACCACTGGACCAAGACGACTTGGTTAATAGAGATTATTATTGATTGATGATAAAAGTTATGAAAGCCCTACTAGAAAACCTTCCTTTAAATACAACCTTCAACTAAAACGTCAATACTTAGTCTAAACGACATTATTGATAAAGTGAAGCCTCTCCCTTGACTAGAGTCTCTCCTTTGTCTTTAGCCACTTTTGTTAAGTATCTTTCTAATAAATTTCTCCATAGCTTTAACCTTTCTGCCTCCAGACCTTATCTTCTTTCTCATACAAGCTAAACTTACCATGAGTTTATCAATTTATGTATTTGAAAAATATATATTTCAAATGTAAAATTATTGTGGAGTTGAGATCATATTTTGGAGAAAGATGTGTTTATTGTTTGCTTATTATTTTGCTAGTTTATATATTGTATTGATAGTCGTATAGTGTTTGACTGTACTTTTGAGCATATAGAGTTGTTGTAATTCGTGATTTTCCTTGGTGGTGTGTTTGAACCCGATAGGTTTGCTTGAAGATAATCTAGTTCGTACTAAGTTTCAGTGGGAGTTGGTTCACTACCAGCGACACGACGGTGTTATAGGAAAACGTTATTCGAAAGATAACTTTCTGTGTGTATTGCTAATTCGTGTAGTTTGAGTGGTTACAAATGAAGAATCATGTTCAGAGTATGGTGGGAATGATAGAGATCACATGGCCGTAGGATTGTTATTGCATGCATGTTTGATTATTATTGTTGTTATTGTTTTCGCTTGTGCTTAATCATTGTATTCTCTAATTATTTGTTGCATGTTACTATGTTGATTGTTGGGGGTATTTTAGGGTGATAACTTATTGAATAAAAATTATATTTACTAAAATGGAAGTTCTTTATTCGTGAAGTGTATTGATTAATGATAAGAGGTTATGTTCGAAACGACACAACTTTCGATCATGGTAAAGGGTTAGCAAGCCTAATACTATGTTCAAGAGGGATGGTACCAAGGATGGATCGACTAAGATGATGGATTTGTTTGATAACTTTGGTTGGATCTTACATGGTTTTATCAACGTAATGCTTCCAGGTCTTTAGATGTCTAGTATAGTTTAGGGGTGTTACACGCATGGCATGGTGGCAAGGGACTTGGACGTGGTTGCTTCACTTCGGACGCGAGTGGACCAGCCCCGGCTCCAACAATCGAGAAGCCTTAGGGTGACTTACAAAAGGGGCCTTTTCAAGCATGCTAAAAACAAAAACCATTTCATATAAGAAATATTTACTCAGATGTTAACCAAAAGTTCGAATATTACTAGAATATCATACATTTTTTAAAAATTACTCATATGTTTAGCGTCTTTGTGTAATTACAATTAACACCCTTGATTAGTTTTTTTTTTTTTAATCCATTTTTAATTAAGAAATGATTAACAAAAATTATGTTAATCCACGTCATTAAAAGAAAAACAAATTAAAGCCTCGTCATTAACGTCATTAAGAGAACCCTTTCGATTTCCCTCTCTGTCACTGTTCATCTCCGAAAAAAAAAAAACTGTAAAAAACTTTTTCTTTCTCCGACGGAAACGCGATTCCGACTAAGACTAAGAAACCCTAATTCCGGCCGAAACTCTTAACTCTCTCGTTCTCTCCGTCGCATTTCGTCTCTACTCAAGTCGGGACCTTTTACTTCGTCGCCTCACCTCAAGTCGGGACCATTTCGTCTCAACTCAACTTGTTTAAGGTATGTGTCGAATCTTTATTTTGGATTTTCCGACATTTTTCCCGCATCTAAGTTCAATAGCGAGTGATTTCCGTGATTGAAACCGTTTTCCGAAAACTATCGCGAAGAAATTGAGGGTTTTTATCGACGCTTATTACAGCTGATTTTCGCCAACGTTGATTTTCATATGGTGGCTAATTTGTTATATCTATTCGATTCCATGGCTGAGTTATTGTTTGCTTTAGACTGATTTATGATTTATCAATGCATCTATGGCTGAGTTTGTTTTATGGTGTGGCTGAGTTTGTTTTACGTTGTGGCTGAGTTACTCTATGCTTACGACTGAGTTATGGTTTATCTGCTCAACTGTGGCTGAGTTTGTTTTATGTTGTGACTGAGTTACTGTATGCTTACGGCTGATTTATGGTTTATTAGATGGCTAAGGTTATTTCTGAAGAACAACCAAGGGATTACCCTCCAAGACTTTACGTAGAAGGGGAGTCTATTCTGGAGAATAAATTGTTAAATCACAATATCAAGATGGGAGATGTCCCTGTGATTATAGAATCAATAGGACAAGATGCGTGGAATGAACTGAAGGGGTCACCTATTGGAATAATTGCTAAGCTAGCTGAAAGCTAATTCGTGTGGTCTGGTAAGACTGTACATTTTCTACTGTGTAGACAGTTAAGAATACACAAGAAGGAGATTTGGTTTCTAGTTGGTGGTCAACCTATCAGGTTTGGCTTGAACGAATTTGGTCATATCACGGGGTTAAACACAGGTTCAATCCCTACAGAAAAGTTTGAACCTAAAGCTGACTACAAAGCGTTCTTCAGTGAATTGAATGTGCCTGGTGGTGAAGGTCCAAAGTTAGATGAACTGAGGGCAGGATTACTAGTGTGCAGGACATGGACTCCTGAAAAGCGTAAGTGGTTGGGGCTGTTGACTCTTCAAGCCATTGGACTGTATGGCTTGCATCATAACTCTAGAATACCATTTGAAAGTGCGAAAAGAGTTTTTGATGAGGAAGCCATGAACACTTATCCATGGGGTCGGTCAGCATTTGAAGCCCTGGTTAATTCTATAAAGATGTTGAGGCCTGTTGGAAAGACGTACACCGTCAGTGGTATGGTTTACGTGTTACAGGCTTTGGCGTATGATTCACTCAAATGCTTTGGAGAGCGATATGGGAGAGTAGTCAACAAGGATGAGATACCGTTGCTTCGTTGAGGTGGAAACCGTACACGTAAAACAATGGAATTGACCATTGCTGAAGATATCAAAGCGCATGGTGAGGTAAGGTTTTGGCTCTGTTATGAAAGTTACTGACTCAGTTATGATAGTTACTGACTGAGTTATGTTTTAGTAATGAGTTATATTTTGTGATGGCTGAGTTATCGTTTTTGATGACTGATAGTTACTGACTGAGTTATGTTTTAGTAATGGCTGAGTTAAATTTTGTGATGGCTGAGTTATCGTTTTTGATGACTGAGTTATGACTTATGCGCTGGCTGAGTTATATTAGTGATGGTTAGTGATGGCTGAGTTATAATTATTGATGATTCAGTTTAAACTTACTAATGGGTTTTATAATCTCTTATGTTATAGCTGCGTGTGAGTAAATTGGTTCTGAAGGATGATGTCAGAGAGCTATTTCATACGTGGCCAGATGAAGAAGAGGACCCAGCACTTGATAATTTGATCCGAGATATACATGAGGATAAGTTTGTTAAAGGATATTGGGATGTGAAGAAGACTGAGAAGAAGAAGAAAAATGTTAATTCTAATGCAGCGGGTGACTCTGAATCTCCCGCAAAGAGGCAGAAAGTCCACAATGTCAAGGATGTGATCAACAGTGAGGGTGTTGAATCTGGTGAAGGAGATGCAGAAAAGAAGAAGAAGAAGAAGAAGAAGAAAGAAAAGGTAAATGATATGGTATGTAGTGAGTTTATATTTGATGTAATGTTTGGGTAGCTTGTTTATGCGTTTTTGTGTATGTGTTGCAGGTTGGTAGTGCGGAGGACGATGTTCTGGAAGATGTGTCTGTTAAAACAGTCGTGGATTTGGTGAAGCAATTAAACTCAAGGTTTGACACCGTTGATACAAGCATCAAAGAAGTGTCTTCAAATATGGAGAAGGTGATTGGAGATAGAGTAGAAGCGAGGATGGATGAAAAGTTTGAATATATGGAGAAGGAGTTGAAACAGATGAAAGAGCGTCTGAATGCAATTGAGCAGGGGGTAGGGAAATCTGGTGAAAACGCTGAGGAAAACTCAGCCTTCAAACAAACAGAACCTCCCGAAAAGCCGACGCAAGTCAACCTTTTGCTGAATCAAAAAGAAAAAGCAACACCAAAAGGTCCAGCGAAACCTCCACAAAACCAGTCTGTTACTAGTCCTCTGGTAAGCTAACAGTGCCAGACATATGTATAAATACATTGCAGCTGAGTTATTATTATCTTAATAACCTTTTAGCTGAGTTTTCATTATCTTGATCACATAATGGCTGAGTTATCATTATATTAATCACCTTACGGCTGAGTTATCATTATATTACGGCTGGTTATCATTATCTTAATCACATTATGGCTGAGTTATTATTATATTAATCACCTAACGGCGGAGTTATCTTTATCTTATGGCTGAGTTATCGGTACGTTTATGCAAGCGAAGGATATTGTCGATGTTGAGAAGGACATTGGTATTGCTGGTGTCAGTAAGAATCTGGAAAAGGAATTTGCTAATGTCATTGATGGCAAATCTGCTATTGATTTCATAGATACGTTACCTAATAATATTAGGAAATTACGCTCCAGGAAAATTGACACAGCGAAAATCGCAGCGGGAAAGAAGAATACCGGCAAGGATAAGCCCGCCAAAGATAAGGCCCCCAAAGATCAGGCAGCAGTCGGACGTATAAGAGGTAGGAAGCCTTCTTCTACAACGGTTAAAAAGGTGGTACGAAAACTAGCTACTGCTCCGGTGGAGGGAGGAGCTGCTCTTGATGAGAAGAAAGAGGCTGCTGATGTCCCCGACAAAGATGAGGAAGTATTGGAAAAGGCTGGCATTAAACGTGACAATGAGGTATATGATGTCACAGACCAGTTGATAGCTGGTAACGAACGCACGTTACCTGAGTCTGAAGATGATGAAGAGGAACATATAAGGATTGAAAGAATCAACGCTCTAAGGAAGGAGAGTGTCAAGCTGTCTCCGGATGGGAGTGCATTGAATCCACTCTCTAATGTCTCTGAACGGATATTTCTCATATCGGAGACAACGGACTGACGTGCATGAGGAAGAATTGTGTGCCTTCAGCTGGAATATATGATCCTCTGTCACCAGTTGATCCGGCCAAATTGCAGAAACTGAAGGAAATGATGGCCCCATTCAAGTATGACCCTCTATACCTTTTAACCTTGTTAATTACAGCTTGTTTACACTATTTATGTATATTAACTTGTGTTTATCTGTTAGGCATCTCCCATTGGGCAGGGCAACAGACACTGTTGATTTCTACAGAATGCTCATCACCGAAAGAAAGGACTGGCCAGATCCAAAATATGGATGGCTTTTCGATGACGTAAGTATAACATTATGGCTGAGTTATTGTAAGTGTTGTGGCCGAGTTATTGGTTTGTTTTGGCTGAATTATTGGTGTGTTTTGGCTGAGTTATTGTAAGAGTTGGTGTTGTGGCTGAGTTATTGGTGTGTTTTGGCTGAGATTTTCTAGATAAAGGCTGAGTTATTAGTGTGTTTTTCAACATTATGGCTGAATTATTGGTATGTTTTTCTACATTATGTCTGAGTTATTGTTATGTTTTGTCTGAGTTGTTATTTTTTTTTTTTTTTTTTTTGTGTGCAGCATATTGCTGCGTATTTGAGGGTTCTTAGAAAGAGGTTCATCACGCGAGTTCCCTTCCCATTCCACACCAAACGCATTGCGTTTATAGACTCGTGGTTCGTGAGCTATTGGTGTAAAGAGTATGACCAGTTCAAGATAAAACCCGAGAGGTTTAAATTCAAAGGCACCCCTTACGAGAGGCTGGTACACGGTTTGGAGCCAAAAGATCAGCAGACAAATATGAAATTGATAGAAGATGTGGATCACTTGTATATAGTTCACCAAATCGCAGGCAATCACTGGGTGGCGCTGGACGTGGACCTGATTAGGGGGCACATTGATTGCTATGATAGCATCGTGGGGCATCATACCAAGGAAAGTGAATTATCTGTGCTGGAGGCTTGTAGGCCGTTTACGAGGATGATTCCTCAGATGATGAATGGAATAATTCCTCCTGAAATCTATTCACCTAAGTTCGAGCAGTTTTCATTCAGAAGGAGGAATAAATCGAGGGTCCCTCAGAACGTCCAAGTTGGAGACTGTGGCGTGTACGCGTTGAAATTTATCGAATGTCTAGCGCTTGGTGTAAGTTTCGTTGGCATCTGTGATGAAAATATTCAGGCTCACTACAGGAAATGTGGGTATTAATAGCGGCCGAAAAACGCAATTATTCATCTACCATAGCGTTTCCTTAAGTGCTCTGACATCGCCCGTTATAGAAAGTCGGACACTTTTGATAGCGGTTTTTCGTTGTGCTATAGTTAATTGAACTACGATAGCGGTTATGACACTGCTATTATTAATATTTATAATAACGTGTAATAATTGTTATGATTGGGTTGTACCTATTTTCATGATTTGATTTTTCTACAATATTTATTTGATTAATTATTTCAATAATTTATATTTTTTATAATATTTATATTTTTGTTAATTATTTTAATTGTATTTAAATCATCTTTACTGTGATTTTTGGATTAAAATTACATATCAAAAATAAAAAATACAATATTTTATTATCATTATTACATGAAATAATATACAAAAACTTTTATAAAAATACTACAATTAAAAATACAAGACCAATACATCTCCTCTACATAGAATGCCTCTTCATCTTGTTCATCTCAGTCACAGCTTCTTGAATTTTCTTCTCTTGCTATACGGGTTAAGATGGCAACATAGATCTATGATGAGGCCCCTGACCTGCTCGCTGCGTTTGATGTCTAATGATACATTATGATGATATGTAAAATATTAGTATTTCGAACATGTGATTGTCTTTTGTACTAACTATTTATGCTTTTGAGTTCTCGTGATGATTATGTATGGGGTTGATAATGCTTTAGGTTTGTGTGATGCGTCTGGATTGATGTTTATTAATTCGTTGTTTGGGTGAGATAATCTAACAACACGGCTGAGTTATGGTTTATTAGGAGTTTATTATTGTCGAGTTATACAAATGTTGTATAACTCCCCACCTCGGATAACTCCCCACCTCGAATAACTACCCACTCAAGTTATCATTATACCTAGATACCCTTATACCTATTTTCCCTATATATATCTCTTCTAAATATAACTCTTGTAAAACAATTCTCTCTCGTCTTTTCTCTTCTTGATTATTAGCAACTAATCTATATAATCTCTCTTGTCTTTCCTCTTGTCGATCATGGATGCATCAGGGTCTAGCAGCAAGAGGACGCGTGTTGAAGACGATTCCCGCAGCAGGAGGCATGCAGTGGAGATGCAAGAGCAGAAAGAACGTTTCGAAGGCATCATCTCTCTCATCAAACACAACATGAAAGAGACGGAGGAAGCCCACGCTTTGGATCTCACGCTGCGTGAGGAGAATGCGAAACTGGATCTCCTAAGGAAGATGATGAGTTTGAAGGACGGATTTAACGTGGAGGAGGAGTTCCAGATCGTGAAGGAGCAGGCAAGGAAGGCTTACGAGGAGAAGGTGGCATTCAACGTGACGGGGATCAACTGGGACAAACTGGGGTTTAAGCCGACCGAGTTGTCGGGGTCGGAATCAGACTAAGAATGGAGATATCCATTCTATTTGTTTTTTTTTTTTTTTTTTTTTTGAATCTATGTTATTGATATGTTAATGAATCTATGTTACTGAATTTATGTCAAGTTATTCTTGCGATATGGCTGACTTAACACAGATGAATTCGTGGTTTAGCCGAGTTATTCCAGCGACACGGCGGACTTATGAGTAATTTTTGATGTCACGGCTGAGTTATTTACTTTTAGCCGAGTTATTCCAGCGAAACGGCGGACTTATGAGTAATTTTTGATGTCACGGCTGAGTTTTTATACATTTAACGGCTGAGTTAATATACATGTAACGGCTGAGTTATTATTGGTCATTTGGCAAAATTCAAACAACACTAACAAAAAGCATTACTAACAATACAAAAGACAATGGCTGATACGACACATACAAGCAATCCTGTCAATCCCCTGATGACGATGCGTTGACGATAAACTATTGTTTCCATTTCGTCAATCCTTTTCTGTAATCCAAGCTCAATCGAAATCTTCTCATCTTCTGTATTAATTGATGATATCTCCAAGTTTTGCCTCTCCAAATCACCACGAAGCTCCAAAATTGTCGCATTAAGTTCTTCAATCTTCTCAGTCTTCTCTTTAATTACAGATTGAGCTTCTGCCAAAGCCCTTTTCGGCCACCCTATGACCTCCTCGTCGAGCCACCTAAAGAATTTGCAGTGAGCATTACCACCTTCCTTGTACAACTGACACCCAAAGAACCTTCGATTTGGATTTTTATCCGTTTTGGATTTGAAGACCTTTGCGGCAATCCACATTCACACAGTTTCCGAACTCCAGAATTACTCCCAAAGCTACTCGTCGATCCAGAGCTTACTTCCATCTTCTCTCGTTATTCGGAGACAGACGAAGAACCCTAATTGTTTATTTTGGGATAAATGTCTATTTGATGACTCTAGGTGTTCGGAAACTCACTAAATCAATATAGTCATGTATACTAATAAAACTACGTCGTTCGAGACATACCAGTACTGGCTGAGTTACAGCTGTCTTACGAACATCCCATTAATTTATACATATTAATTTTCGGGATTACATAAAGTGGTTTTTTGGGAGACGCCATTAATAATTACTGACATATTCACCCGCAGACGGCAAGTCGTCGAATCAGTCATAAATGACAACATTTTTGAGAAAGTATTCATAATAATTCAAATTTTTGAGTTTGGTATATCGGTTTATTGGATGAGTTCTAAAATGTGCATACATGGGCTTATTTCATGATCATTATTTGGAAAGTGGATATAAAAAGTTAATTACATCTCATTAATCTGAGTAAATTACATGACTGTATCATAATGATCATGAAACACAGATTAATTCGTGGTTTGGCCGAGTTATATGTTTAACGGAAGACGAAAGGTTGCGTGACGGCTGACTTTTGAGTTAGAGTTTGATGTCTGGCTGTAGAATAATACGTAATGGCTGAGATATTTACGTTCTACGGCTAAGTTACGGAACACATTAATTTCTAAATACGGAAAAATATCTAATTAAGTAAGCTTAATTAGATAAGTTTTAATAGCACCATACCATTATAACAATAAATATACATGTGAATATTTATGGCTGACTTAACGTAGATTAATTCGCGGTCTGGCCGAGTTACGACAGCGTAATGGCTGACTTAACGTAGATTAATTCGTGGTCAGGTTACGACAGTATTAATAATAAAATTTAACAATGGAAATCTGAGCATAGAAGCCATAGAAGTTCATAACAATGGAAATCTGATCAAATTTAACAAAAGTCATAAGGAAAGCTAATCATAGAAGTTCATTACACGGAAGTTCAAAGAGGATACGACAGTACAAGGAAGTTTAACGACGGAACAATAGGGCAAATTCGGCAAACATATCGCATAAATTATCCCACACTATTAGATCCATCCACTCGGGCTTATCGCGACTACGCGCCCATATCCCCATAAACGCACGCATCTGGTCCCGGAATATCGTTCTAGCCACGAAATTGAACTGGGTCCAAACCGTGAATGTTTTCGTTGGATCCCACGTGTATTTACGCTACAATGAAAGAAAAGATCGTGAATTCGGTTTTTAGTTTGCTTTATATCAAATATCAATGCTTACCGCGAGGAGGATAAACCATCGTTCCTTAACATCGGCGGGAATCAAGTGATACGTTGGCCACTCATGGTGCCAGTTCTGCTTGAGTATCTCTGCAATCGCGACAGAGAGATCGTAATTGAACTTGAACCACGTAACAGTGGTTTTGTCAACCCAGTAACCAACACCCGGGTTCAGAACGGGAAGATCCTCCCGACCATCAGCGATAATGATCCCTAGAACATCGCTGAGAAACTTTCCTGTGATGTGAGGAAAAACGTCCATGTCGATTGGAAGATGTTTTCCAGGAGATATTTTGTGTAGGGGATTGGGGACGAAGACGAACGAGAGACCATGAGATGGAAAGAGACGAAGGCGAACTGATCGGATATAAAGAGAAAAAAAAAGGGTAAGGTAGAGGAAAGGTTTCGTCTCTTATTGTTCCGCGGCAAAAATGTACACGTGACGGCTGAGTTATATGCTTAACGGAAGACGAAAGGTTGCGTGACGACTGACTTTTGAGTTATTAGATAAGATTTAATAGCACCATACCATTATAACAATAAATATACATGTTTTTTTTTGGTAAGTACAATAAATATACATGTGAATATACTGTTAAGATTTTATAAATCTGCGTAAATTACATGACCGCTAAGACGTGGATGACTTAGCACATATTAAATCGTGGTTTGGTCGAGTTATGACAGCGTGATGGCTGATTTAACGTAGATTATTTCGTGGTCTTGCCGAGTTATGAAAGCGTCATGGCTGACTTAACGTAGATTAATTCGTGTTTTGGCCATCACAGAAGTTCATTACACGGAAGTTCATTACACGGAAGTTCATAGCTGAAACGACAGTAGAAGGAAGTTTAACGACGGAACAAACGGCCAAATTCGGCAAACATATCGCATAAATTATTCCACACTATTAGATTCATCCACTCGGGCTTATCGCCACTACGCGTCCATATCCTCATCAACGTACGCATCTGGTCCCGGAATATAGTTCTAGCCACCAAATGGAACTGGGTCCAAACCGTTGATGTTTGCATTGGATCCCACGTGTATTTACGCTACAAAGAAAGAAAAGATCGTGAATTCGGTTTTCTGTTTTAGTGTGCTCTATATCAAATATCGATGCTTACCGCGAGGAGGATAAACCATCGTCTCTTAACATCGGCGGGAATCAAGCGGTACGTCGGCCACTCATGGTGCCAGTTGTGCTCGAGTATCTCTGCAATCGCGACAGAGAGGTCGTGATTGAACTTGAACCACGTAACAGTGGTTTTGTCAACCCAGTAACCAACACCCGGGTTTAGAACGGGAAGATCCTCCCGACCATCAGCGATAATGATCGCTGCTACTTCGCCGAAAAACTTTAGGTCGATGTGAGGAACAACTGCTTCCATGTCGATTGGAAGATGTACCGGATATATTTTGTGTAGGGGATTGGAGAGAAAGACGAACGAGAGACGATGAGATGAAAAAGAGACGAAGGCGAACTGATATGATATAAAGAGAAAAAAAGGGAAAAGCAATGGAAAGGTTGCGTCTCTTAATGTTTCGCGGCAAAATGTACATGTGACGGCTGAGTTATATGCTTAACGGAAGACGAAAGGTTGCTTGACGGCTGACTTTAGAGTTATTAGATAAGTTTCAATAGCACCATACCATTATAACAATAAATATACATGTGAAAATACTGTTAAGATTTTATAAGTAATATTCATTTATTTTTCTTTTGGTAACGTAATTGGAAAACAAAAATTTACTTTTTTTGAAACAATTGTTACTTTTTTTTTGGATGTGTTCATATGTAATAAGGTTTACTTATTACATGTGAATTATAACTCTATTTTATCTGCGTTTAATTTCGTGTGATATTAATTTGTGGTTTGGCCGAGTTTTTATAAAGATATGACTGACTTATCCTATATTAATTTGTGGTTTGGCCGAGTTAATATAAAGATATGACTGACTCATCGTATATTAATTTGTGGTTATATTAACACAGATAAATTCGAGGTTTGGCCGAGTTATGGTAGCGACATACAGATTAATACCGACAGTACAATGCAGTCCAAAAAAAAAAAACCAGACAGTACAAGGAAGTCCAAATAAAAAACCGAAATTAACTAAGCTCACAGATACTTGTTCAAGCTCTGATACTTCTTCTCTAGCGCTTCAAATTTCTCTTCCATAAGAAAGATCTTTTCTTCCTGAGCCTAGATGCGCTTCTTGGCTGCATCCAAATCCTGCTTCATCTCATTCTTCTCCTCCTTTATCTTCTCAAATTCGTCACACAATGCGACAGTCCACCACCTCATGAAACCGCAGCCACGACCAGGACCCTTAAAAATCATACATAACCCATATTACACCCCAAAATTAAAAAAAAAAAAAAAAGGAATCAGAACTCAAAATCAAGACCCAATAAATCTTAAATACGAATTTGTGTTTCTTTACCCAATTACCGGAAACAACCATTACCGGAACCGGATCAGTCATATCGGGGTAAGGAAGAACGAAAATGAAGAAGTAAGACGATGACGAGTCGAGTGAAATTTAAGTTCCAGAGATGTGAAAACACAGGTGAAGATCGACACAATGAAGAAGAAGATGAGTAGTAGAAAAGACCTTTCGTATTTCCCTTGATGATGATGACATGGAATGATGACATGGAATGTTGCATCCGACGTCATTTTTTTAATTGATGAAGTGGCAAGTAAGCCACCAAACGAAAATGTTAATCAACCGAATTAAACCAGCCATCAAACAAAACTTTAACTCAGTCGCAACATGCATACTATTACAGTAATTAAAAATCGAAAAAAATGCAGCCAAATTCAGCCGTTTAATGTCGTAACTCAACCGAAAATCTTTAACTCAGCCGTATCGTTTGATAAGTCGGCCGTAATTGCAAGCTATTCTAGTAATTAATCTTTCGCTACTAAGTCAGCCGTAATTGGGCCGAGTTTTCCATTAACTCAGCTCATTACGGCTGATTTATGACACTAGAGGCTAAATCAGCCGTAACGACATCACATAACTAGGCCGTCTTTGATAACTCAGCCAACCGGAAAAAGTTAACTCAGCCGTGTCGAAGCAATAACTCAGCCAAAATTTTGACAAATCAACCAACGGGTGAAATCTCAGCCGTAACTTAGGCTGGGTTATGCTCGAAAGTCAGCCATTTTCTCATAACTCAGACCGACTTCATTAACTCAGCCGTAACTAATGTCTGAGTTATACTCGTAAGTCAGCCGTTTGCTCATAACTCAGTCATTTTCCATAAATCAGCCGCTACTAACCGTAACTCAGCCGTCACTGCCGCTGTATCGCTTTACGGCTGAGTTCATTAATACACGTCAGCGATTTCTGACGTGGCGACGCGGCTTTGCTGACATGGCAGTGGCATTCTTTGTAATTACGTTTTTTCCTGTAACGTTTAACAGGGGCACGCTGGGTATAAAAAATATACCCGAAATATGATAGTAATAAAAAAAAAATATGTATGTATCTGGTAATTTCATATAAAATGTTATACATCTGAGTAAAGTTCCCTTTCATATAATCATGTCTTAAGCTCCATGTCTTCATCTATCAGATTGCTTTATATTGCGTCATATATCATGCATCCTTCTTCCGTTGGATCTAAGACAACAAAACAAAACACAATAGTTATTTCGAAATAAAGAAACGATTTTGACGAGCTCTAGTCGACGCAAACTCATGAATGACAATTTCAAAGTATATGTTTTTAACAAACTTTTTTCAATGCATAGAATAGCTAGACCATCCAAGCTTTGTTGAGACATAGAGGACCTCATATAATTTTTTAATAACTTCAATTTTAAGAAGCTTCTCTCGGCTGAAGCTACCGTCACGGGTGTTGTTAATAAGATTCGATAAGCAATTGAAACATTTGGATAACAACCTACATTTTCTATAAACTCAAGCACTTCACTAGGTGTCATTGACACTTGGGATAAAGTCATTTGCAAAACTTTTAATTCTGAAAAAGTCATTAAAATCAACATCCGAGACATTCTCATGAGAAAATGTTTTGTGAAAATTAATGCAATGCTCTTTTAATTCACTTTCATCAAGTGATTTTAATTTCAATGAATCAAACAAAAATCCAAATACACTTTTAAAAGTCATCATTTGTTCAAATCTATTCTTTACCGAAGAAATTGCCATATCCACAACAACCAAAAAATAATTGATTCTAAAATCATCTTCAACCGATAATGCTTCTTCATCATGATCATTCTCATCAAAGTGTTTTTTTTTCTAAAGACACGACGCCTACTTGGAAATATAGGATCAACATTCATATCATGAGCAAGACCTTGAGCTACTTTCAAACAAGAACTAAACCCTTCATCTCAATACTTTTCAAAATATAAGATCATACCTTCTAATTGTTTTATAAGGTTATATTCGAGGTACAATCAAGAATGATAGAAAAATATTTGGCCTCTCTAATGACTTTCTTAATAAAAAATTAAACTTTATGAGCCAAAAGAGAGATAAATTCATTTTGAATAGTATTACCAAGATAATGATGATGTATTTCATGAGTGTGAATGCGCCTTATATGATTTTGCATTATTACATCAAATTCGGCTATGGATTCAATCATACCTAAGTAATTACCATTACTATTTTGGTAAAGTTTTTCATTTGACCCACGAAAAGCTAAATTTTGTTTAGCAAGACACTTCACAACCGCAATCATTCTAATCAAAACAAGCCTCCAGCTTCCTTTCTCTTTTATAATTTCTCTTTGTAATTCTTTATCAATAGTTTGATTTTTCTCTAATCTAACTACCATTTTATTCCAAGTTTTCATGTTAGCCATATGTTCTCTATTTCTCTCATGCTTTTTAAGTCTCTCGCTAAGATGCTTCCAATTATTTGATCCATCATTTGCTAGAACACTTAAGTAACCACGAGATTTAAACAACTTGCAACAAAAACAATAAACTTTATTCACATGGTTCGAATAAACTAACCACTTTCTATCAAAAGTTTCTCCATTACTCAATTTTCTAGAATAATATTGATATGAGAAATGTCTATAATACTTATCAAGAGGAAAAGTCAAATTTAATTCTCTTTTAGGTCCACATGCAACTAACTTATCTCTCGTTTTATTATCAAGATTATATCTAGGATCAAAAGTATCAAAATGAAATCTTTGTTGGTCATGACCATTCAAACTTTCAAGTAAAGATGCATTTGACACATTATCATGCTCACTCAATCTATTAGGATCATTATCGATACTCAAGAAAAAAATTTCTTGTTCATGAACATTCAAACTTTCAAATGCATTTGGAACATTATGATTGGAACCATCATTTAAATCATTCACGTTTTCAGTTTGTTGATAAACGCTAGCATTATCACCTAGTTTTTTAACAAATTTATCCATAGCCCCTATGTTTTAAATAGCGCAAGACGAGGTAAGGCGCTTGGGGCTTGGTTTGAGCATGGAGCCTTTGCGTTGTAGCCTCTGAGCCTTGGCCGTATGAGGCGCAACTACAAAATAAAACAGTAGGTTAGATATATTCATTGATTCATAAGCATCTTTAGAACAATTTGTGAGTCTGAAAGGAGATAAGAAAGAAAATCCAACAAAAGCTTAAACCATGAGTCTAAAAAAGATAAATGATAATAAAGAAAATCCAATCCAACAAAAGCTCAACCATGAGTCTGAAAATCTGAAACATAAAAATGAAAACAAACGGAATCCAATCCAACTAAAGCTAAAACCATGAGAGTCGGGATCTCTAAAAATCTGTCTCATCATCATCGTCTCCTACGAAATCTTCTTCAATTTCATTATCCTCATCTCCTCCTACGAAATCCTCTTCAATTTCATCATCCTCGTCAATCAAAGCCATTGGAGTTGGAGCCATCCTCTGAGATGCTCTTGGAGTTGGAGTGGAGCATGTGGCCGTATTCTTCCCTTTCGCAGTTCTACTTGAAGATTGTGTTGATCCTCTTTTAGCTCTAGTAAGGTAGTTAGACTCATTAGCTCTAGATACTCTGCTTACCATTTCCCATGTCAAATCACTGTCATCAAAAACCAGTTCTCTAAACTCATCAGACTCCTCATCCATTCTTCCAACCAACTACTCATTACAATCATCAATATTTTGTAAGCTGATAGGATCAATTGTGTCTTTCAACTTGTACCGACGTGTTAAAGTGCGATTGTACTTAACAAACACCATGTCATTAAGCCGCTCTTGAGCCAATCGGTTCCTTTTCTTGGTATGGAGATGTGAAAACACACTCCAATTTCTCTCACAACCAGTCACACTACATGTGAGACTAAGAATTTTTATTGCAAAGTCTCGAAGTGTTGGTGTTGTGCCTCCATACGAAGACCACCACTCAGCTGGTGATTTCGTAGTCCTTTGCCTTATTGCCATTGGAATCCCAAAGAGTCCAGAAGCATGTTTAAACTGCTCCAATTCGGCGGATATCTTATCTATGAGTTGCAGCATCAGGAACCAACCTCTCAATGGTGCTGTATAGACCTATCGATACCTCTTCACAATCCACTCCAGCCCTTGCTTTATACTGAAATTCCGGATTCAAGCAGTAGCCAACAGCATGCAAAGGATGATGGAGTTGACAATTCCAGCGCCTATCGATGATTTCAAATGCTTCCTTGTATATTTCTTCTCTACCCTTGAAGGTGTTAGCAATGGACTCTTTAGTCCTATCTATTGCTTCATAGATGCATCCCATAGCTGGTTTTTTTCTCTCCATCAACCAACCTAAGCACCTTAACTAGAGGACCCGTCAACTGTAGTGTATATAGCACGTTATGGCAGAAGCTGTCTTGCAAAATGATCCTCTTCACATTCCTTGCTCCTGCTTCCTTTCGCCACTTGGAATCTAACCAATCTTGAGAATTCACAAAACTCCTCAAGTTATTTCTCTGCCTATAATACTGCGCTAGTGTTATGAAAGACGTAGCTAACCGAGTTACAGCCGGTCTATGCAGATTTCCTTGGTTTGTGAATTTCCTCATCATATTCACAAGAGAACTGTGACCATAGATATATCCATTCATGAAAATGCAGTTCTTTATTACAGTCTTTACTTGAGGAATCTTTCCTATATCCTCAAGGATGAGGTATATGCAATGAGCAGCACAAGGCGTCCAATACAAAGGAGGTCGTTTCGCCATTAGCAGTTCGCTTACAACATAAACGAAACACAAAACAGAGTTAGAGGTAGCCATAATATGAAAAAAAACAGAACTCATAAAGCTAAAACTAAAGGATTAAAAACTCACTAGCTTTCACGTAGTTGGATGCGTTGTCAGTTACCACTTGGACAACATTAGCTTCCCCAACTTCTTCCACCATACGATCCAGGTGATCAAACAACATGTTAGCATCTTTCACAACTTGTGGAAACATCAACTGATTTAATGAAACCTGATCCCTTTGGCGAGTTAACAAGAAAGTTGACAATGTCCTTTTATATAACAGAATCTTGCCATCCGTCTGACATTATTGAACAGCCTCTAGTTCCCCATTCTTCCTTGTGCTCCACCAACTTTTTCTCTGTTGCTTTGACTTTTTTCTTCAACAAAGGTACTCTTAGTTCATACATGGTTGGTGGCTTAAAGCCGGTACCATATTGACCAACTAACTCTAATGCCTCTTTAAAACTATCAAAGTTAACTGCATTAAAGGGCAACCCTGCATCATAGAACCACCTCGCAATAGCACCACATGCTCTATCCCTAAGTTCCTTATCACATACTCCAAAAATATCTTTTCTGTTGTCTTTTCTTCCTTTCAATACATCGAGAGGAGTTGGACAAACAAACTTGTCCATTGGACCTTTGTGTTTCTTCACAGGTGGCTGTCATCTTTTACTAGTCAGACCTTCAACTTCTTCTTCTTCTTCATAATCATAATCGTCATATGAAGTGCCTGGTGGTGGCATCATTTGAGTGGTGGCATCATTTGAGTGGTGGCTTTAATTTCAGCTTTTTTAAGCATGAAATCTTTTATTTCTTCCGTCACATTAGGAGGAACTAGAGAACATTGAGTAACATTCCTAAAGCCTCCAACAATATGTTGCTTTGCACGTTGAACTCCACCATTTGTGACTTTCTTACAATAAATACACGTCCAGCTACCTTATTTTCCAGGAGCAGGAACTGCATGTTTCTTGGGAAGATCTGATCCAGACATGATGAGTTGATGAAGAAAATAGAATTGGGAGAATAGAAAGTATAGAGAAGAGACAAGAGCGTGGAGAATATGAAAGACAGAGGCGGGGAGAATATGAAAAGAAAGAGGCTCACGACGTCAGTGTTTATAAAAAGTTTTTAGGTTTTTTACATTTAATTTACATGCCATATTTTTGAAAACAGAAAAAGAAAGTAAATATCGATGGTTTTGCATTATTACCTTTCTCTTTCTAAGGCGCAGAGCGAGTTGAGGCGTGCATCACGTCCAGGCGTCCCGGAGCGAGAGCCTCTAGGAGATAGCCTAGTCTCATAAGTTAAAGGCGATGATCCCTTAACCTCACCGTGCCTTGAGCCTAGGCGAGGCCTAGGCGCGCTTTTTAAAACACAGCATAGCCCCTCTTTGGGATTGAATAAACAATTCATCTTTTTTTTCTTTTCTTTACTTTGTCATTTCCACACAAAACCATGATCAAAAGTCAATTTTATTAAAAGATAGAACTTGGATTAACAAAGACGAGGCAGTGAGCGGTGGCAATTACAATTAACAAGAATTGATGTCGCCAAAAACCAAGTGGAAGCACCTAGAACAATAAACAATTTATAAAGAAACGATTAAAAATAAATTAAAATATATACTAAGTATTCGAAGAAAAACAAAATTTAGATCTAGTTAACGTGTGTTCTTTTTGCTTGATTTAAACCAAAATCAAACAAGGACAAAAAATTATCTATTACGTCCACTGGCATTTCAGTTGATCCGACAACATCTATGATATCTGCATCTGAACAATGGTGGAAAGACCATGAAGCGGTAATTAATTATAATTTATCTCATTACCAAAAATATTTTTTTAACTAATATAGATGTATAAAAAATTATATATTTAAAAAATTTATAAGTTTTTTAACAGGGGTGTAGAATAATAAAATCACTTCATCGAAAACCATGGGAAGTGATGGAGAAACATTTGGTCTCGACTACAAGAAGATAGTGCTGCTTGTCTACAGTTGCTACGGATGTCACTTGATGCGTTCACAACATTGTGTCGTATTCTACAAACCAATTATGGATTACAACCAACACTGAATGTAAGCATCGAAGAGAGTATTGCTATATTTCTCCGGATATGTGGGCACAATGAAGTTCAACGAGATGTTGGATTACGGTTTTGACGAAATCAAGAAACAGTGAAGAGAAAGTTTTTTGAAGTTCTGACAGCTACTGAATTACTTGCTTGTGATTATATCAAAACTCCAACAACACAAGAACTACATAGGATTCCTGAACGGCTGCAGTTGAATGACAGATATGGGCGATATTTTACTGGATTTGTTCGAGCTATGGATGGGGTTCATGTATGCGTTAATGTAAAACCCGCATTGCAAGGAATGTATTGGAATCGACATGATAGAACATCTTTTAACATCATGGCAATATGTAATCTAAATATGTTATTCACATATGTTTGGAATGGAGCACCTGGATCATGTCATGATACAACAGTTCTTGCAATTGCACAAGAAAATGATCCTGAATTTCCAATGCCTCCGACAGACAAGTACTATGTTGTGGATTCTGGCTATCCAAATAAAAAAGGATTTTTGGCTCCATACAGATCTTCACGAAACAGGATAGTAAGGTATCATATGTCACAATTTAACACTAATCATCCCCCGAGGAATAAACATGAATTGTTTAATAGATGGCATGCTTCTTTACGGTCTGTTATTGAGAGGACATTTGGTGTTTGGAAGAAAAAGTGGAGGATTCTTTGTGAGTTCCCTAGATATAATATTGAAGTGCAAAAACGAGTGGTAGTTGCTACAATGGGACTACATAATTTTATTAGAATTTCAAATTTTCTAGATGAATATTTCACTGAAAGAATGGGACACACTGAGAATAGCAACACAGACGGTGCAACTGATCAAGATGATATGGAAGCAGCAGAGGTAGAAGATGGAGATGTAATGGCAAACATCAGAGAATATATTGCAAATAAACTATGCCAAGATAAAAATACTGGATAGTAGAAGTTTCAGTCATTTTCATGTGTTATTTTGTATTTATTTCATGTATAACATATACAAAACATAATTATATTTATCTTTTAATAAATTAAAGTTCGATATAATTACATCTGTCCTGAAAATATATACATAATATTCTTATAATTAATGAAGCAATCATTTTTATTTTTATTACAAAATTGTATATTTGATATATATTAAAATAATTTTCAGTTTAAAAAAGATAATTATATTTTATTAATATTCTTTAATCTCTTTTTATTTTATTTAAAATATTAACTTTTAATATTTTGTAATTATTTTTACTACTGAAACCGCTTTTCTATTATTTCACCATTCAACATAGATTTTGAACTGCTTGATCCGCACCTTTTCTACTTGATCCGCCTAATACGCTTGATCCACAGTTGATCTGCATGAACCGCTTGATCTGCATGAACCGCTTGATCTGCCTGATCCGTACCGCTTGATCCGCTTGCACCATTCAAAACCTAAGAGGAATAGAGGCGGAGGTAGTTAAACATCATAGGGATTATATGACACTTATGAAATTTAGAAATTTGGTTAATTTTTGGCTAAATTTTTTAAATTAACACCAATAAAAAGATAAATTGACTCATATGATTAACTTTTTCTACATTTTGACCCCCGTAAATACAAGTTCTAGCTCCGCCACTGAAGAGGAATAGAGATTATTATTGATTGATGATAAAAATTATGGAAGTCCTAATAGGAAACGTTCTTTTAAATACAACCTTCAACTTAAAACGACATTATTGAATAAAGTGAAGTCTCTCCCTTGACTAGACTCTCTCCTTTGTCTTTAGCTCCTTTGTCTTTAGCCACTTTTGTTTAGTATCTTTCTCGTAAACTTCTCCATAGCTTTAGCCTTTCTACCTCCAGACCTCATCTTTCTTCTCATACAAGCTAAAGATACCCTGAGTCTATCAATACTCCCCCTTAGAAGACTGACCTTGTCCTCAAGGTCAAAATGCGAAAATTGCTGCACGAGCGTTGTCAATGGTTCCCAAGTTGATTCAGTACTCGAGAGTCCTACCCACTGAACCAGGACTTCTGCTCTTTCTCCTTGCTCTGCCTTTCTGATGTCAAGCAGTTTCTCTGGTTCCGTTGCCCACTCCAGGAACGATGTCATAATCTTTGGTAAGTCCTGAGGAGTGTATGAGGCTGGCATTGCCACTTTCAACTGTGATATGTGGAACACATAGTGAATTTTGCTGTGCTCGGGCAACTTGAGCTTGTAAGCCACTCGTCCCACACTACTCAACAATTGATAAGGCCCAAAGTAACGTTGCGACAGCTTCTCGTTCTTCCTGTGAGCCATAGAACTCTATCTGTAGGGTCTTAGCTTCAAATAGACACAATCCCCCACCGCCAACTCCACATCTCTCCGGTGTCTGTTGGCTGATTTTTGTATTCTGTTCTGGGCAATTTTCAGATTCTCTCTTAGCTCCCCCAAGATATTGTCTCTGTCTTTTAATAATTATTCCACATTTACATTCGGAGTAAGAGTGTCTCCATACCTGAGTAGAGGAGGAGGTGATCTACCATAGACAGCCATAAAAGGTGTGGTTTTAATGGTTGTATGGTATGATATATTGTACCAATACTCAGCCCATGGTAGCCATTATATCCACGATGTAGGTCTTCTCCCCGTGAAACATCTCAAATAGGACTCCAAATACCTATTGACCACTTCTGTTTTACCGTCTATCTGTGGATGGTAGGCGGTGCTTTTTTACAGTGAAAAACCTTGCAACTTGGACAGTTCTGTCCAGAAGTGGCTCAGAAATTTTTTATCCCTGTCAGATACCATTGTGGCAGGAAATCCATGGAGCTTGATGACATCTCTAATGAAGGCTTCAGCTTCGGATTTGGCAGTGTGGGGCGCTTTAATGGGATGAAATGCTCATATTTACTGATCCTACCCACTACAACTAAGATAGAGTTGATCAACCACTTAGAACTTGGTAAGCCTTCAATGAAGTTCATGCTTATATCAGTCTATATTAGTTAGGTATTGGAAGAGGAGATAGGAGGCCTCAGGGCCGGCCCTAAAAAAAAAGGGGTCAAATACGAAACAGAAAACGGGGGCCCCTATGTCGCATCTTAAAACCATAATCAAACCATAGTCAAAATGGGGCAGTATATGATATAGAGTATTGACTAAAAATGTGGAGACTGAAGAACAGTAGAAGCGT